GATTGGTTGAATGGATAACATGATCGTCGGTCCTGAGTCAACCAAGGGTTTCCATATTTGGGACGGTCCTACCTGTAGTATTTAAGTGTCTTTCTATTCCGTGTTATTCCGGACAATTCCGTACTACGTTATAAAATTACCATTGTCAGTGTTTTCATTCCAACTATGATATACCAATCATAAAGAAAGAAAGCGAGAACTCTCATTTTAAGCTATAATTCAAAATATCGTAGCTTCCAAATTTATAAAAATAACTAACTAAATTAATAATTTTTTAATATTTGATATTAGTATTTAGGTTTAGGGCTCGGAACCGCGGGTCTACTATCCGAATATCCGAATATCCGTATAGATAACCGGGTATTATAAATATTTATTTACGGGTAATAGTAGCAACCGTCATTCTTTAAACGGATAACCTAACGGATGTCCACATATTGCATATCCGCAAGGTTAACCGAATTTGACAACATATCCGGATGCTGTACGGATAAGTAATAGTTATATCTTGGGCAGTTGGGTATAAGCGGAGATGAAATTTCCGCTTATGCACATAGTGCCCAGGGTATAACTGATTTATGCCCTACGATCTTGATATAGTGACCAGGGTATAATAACGGTTATTAATTTTCTTTTTAATAGTAAATATAGGTCGTGTTATACGCCGGCTTTGAATTTAATGTTCTTGACAACCTGAGCCCCTTCGGGGCCCAGGTTAGCACATTAAATTCAAAGCCAGATACTTCTTTTATTTGCCATCCAAAATGATCATCCCGTGATCCTTCGAATCAGTTATTGGATGCTACACATCCAATAACTATTTATTTATCAATTGCAATCACCCAATTTTCATCCGATTGCGCGACTGCGAATAATAATTTTGATACGGCAAGCAAAAATAAGTTATAGTTATTTTATGGGTCGTAAAAAATAACCAAATTTGCACGGTGTCTGACGTATAATCCCGTGCTAATAAGTAAACGAAAAAAGCACGGGTTGTTACATAAGACCCGTGCAATAGCGATCTACGGACAGACAATTGGGAATGTACACATATATTAGATTATCGCAGTTTGCAAATTGATGTACAGTACCTTTTGATCAAATTTTTAGATCGCTGCACACTAATACAATCACTTATCCTTTTTGCGCGATAATACAATAATTTTTTTTTAGTGAGCGTAGATATGGCTGACAAATTTTATGAAAATAATTATTAATATTAAATCCTTGGCCAAAAAAGCATTTACAATCAGGTGATTGTATGTGTGTGAAAGGCACATCAATCTGCAATCGCGATAATTGGAGTGATTCTTATAAGTACTTAACAGAGATGGTTTTTTTAAAAATAAAATATATATAATTTATGTTTATTTTTACATAAAAGAATATACACCACATAATAAATCGTATCCGGATATCCGTAGGGTTTATCTGATTATCTGCAGACTAAAACTAAAAAATTACACGGGTTTGGATTCTTATAAACGGATATTAAGGTTTGGGAATGATAAAAAAGAATTGCTTATACTTTTTTTTTTTTACTAATACAAATGCAATTTCTTTTGTACATTTCTAATTTCTCTATTTTTTAATTACTTGAATTGACTAACTTTGAATTGATTATACTGGAGATTTTTTGGTGTGATTTCGTTATATTAAAATGTAGTGAAATATAGATCAAACTTGGATAAAAAGTTCGTATAATAGCATTGATTTATAATATTTGATTTATAATATTTGATCTATAATATTTGATTTATAATATTTGTGCATATTATTAAAAATAGCATGTTTCTTTTTTATCAAGATTTTGAATATATAATATATAGTAGATATATTGTATATTAAACTAACTTATGACCCGTGGCTTTACCATGAACATTTTTATATACTCCTACTTAGTGATGGAACTACAGATCCTAAAAATTCAACTGTTATATGCCATGATCTATTAAAAAAATTTGATCCTTTATAAATTTATTGAATGTGACAATTATCATTTTAGCATTATTCTCATCACTACTCCTAATACAGTATTAGTTTAACTATTCATCACTCTATAACTATTCTAGTATCACTACCCTAAACAGCTCGTTATCTGATCAAATCAAAATTTAAGATTAGATATAATAGTGAAACTTTTTTAGGTTGATGACACATATTAATTTTTATGTAAATCAAAAAAATTATTCATGTAACAATAATGTTGATCATTTAAAAAACAGAGCTAATTAGATTTAACTTTTGTCTTATAGTGTTTATCTACCCAATTGCAAATTATATTAGAGATACTAAGCAAAATATAGTATAAATTGATTTTTTTTTGAAAAAAAAGCAGTAGTTCGTACGTCCAAACGGGTAGTTCGATGCGTCGAATAGATTGACCGAGCAACCAAAATTCAGCAAATTGATAAATTTTGCTAATAATACAGTAATCCACGCGCTAAATAAAATTGCCCAGACGCTAATTTTGCTATAATATAGTTAGTTATTATTATTGTATAATGTCAGCTTAACTTCGATGCATTCCAACCTAAACTTTGGCCGATTTTCTAAATTTTGATTGCGCTGCTTATCTATCCGTAAATCCATGATCATACCGTATTGAGATTTTTGCTAACAATATAATTTTTTCCGCGGGCGAATTAAGATCCCATATGTAAGTATAATTAACGACGGTATTGATAGATAAATGAATAAAGATATAATATGTAAGATTGGATAGCTACTGTAATTGGAGATAAAAAATAAAATGAAAAAAAAGTAACTTACTGAGATAAAAAAGATAGGTTAAATGTATAAGCCCAAAATGTATAGGAATCATTTGAACACTACCATAAGAAATGAAACTTCGGACTCATTATTATTTATCAAATTCAGCTCGTGAAAATTAGATCAGATATATATTATATGTGATTGTGATTACATGTCATTGATATTACTATTGTAATATCAGGTTTTTAAAGGCCAAATCTAGTAAAAATAAATTATAAAATTGAAACAATTTTATTATTTATTTAAAATTTTTTTAATTTTTTATTTAATAATATAACATACTATAACATATTTAAATTATAATTTAAAATTTTTCTAGATTGTAAGTAAACTTCTTTGCTAAAATAAAAAGCTTGTTTCTTATGTAATATTTACGATAGGATTTTTGAAATCTACGCTAAGCTATAATGATCTCTAAATCTAAATGATGTGTATAATAATATGGAAGACTAATCCTCGATCACTATGCCAAGATCACAGAGGATTATTATTACTTATTAATTAAAGGATCATTTATATTAATATTTCTGTATATCTTGACGTTTTGAAAAATATTGAAAAATGAAAATTTTCATTGCTACTCATTGTTAGAAAAAAATAAAGGAATTATACTGATCTTATTAGTTAGGACTGTTATGAGATCGAAAATCAAAATTTATTAGTTTCGAAGGCCGATCTATCATTATTAATTAGGATTATTTGTTACATGTTTTTAATTATTGGATAAAGTTAATTCGCACACACGTGATATTATCACATGTAGGTAGTGATACAAAGTTAAAATATGTCACTATATATGTCACTATTAATGTGAACAATAAGATTATCGTCATCGTACAGTATCAGACATTTATATCATGTAGTAACGTACGTAGTATGTACGTAATCATGCTTTCTTTCTTACTGTTTAGCATTAAAGGTTAGAACAAACAAAATTGCAAGTTTTAAGGATAATTAAAAGCACTAGTTTCACTAACAAACTTTTTTTTTTCTTTACTGTACAGTTTTTGTTCTTTAAGAGACACATAACACACCTTTTTCATCATTCTGCTCTCATCTTGCTTTTTGCTCTTTCACACACTCTTATCTCAATTTTTTGCTTTTTTTGCTTCTTGCACTTTCTCTTGCATTCTTACATCTTGCTTTTTGCATTTTCTTTTGTCTCTTGCATCTCTCTTTTCACACTTTCTCTTGCTTTTTTTTTTTTTTTTTTTTATATAAGTTTATTTAAGATATATATATATTTTTTTATGACAGATTAGTACTGTGGTAACTAAAAGTTTCAACTAACTTTTTTTTTTGTAAACAGAATTTTTCTGGCTTTCTTTATTTTATTTTATTTTTTTCCTACAACAAATTGTTTATTGTTCTGGCATCTACTCTTTTTTTCAATAGCACAAAGACCTCTTGCTAGTATAAAAAACATTTTATCATTAATATATAAAAGTTTAGATAATAAAATTGAAAACAATAATAATTTAAGATTAAAAAGAATATAGAAGATAAACTTGGTATTGAAAATAAATCTGATATTGAATGTGAAGAAGATAGTTCTGGTATTGAACTTGAAGTTGGTATTGAAGATGAATTTGATATTGAATATAAAGAAGATGGTTCTGGTATTGAACTTGAAGAGAATACTGATATTATTAGTGAATCTGATAATGTCTCTAAAAAAACTGATAATTATCAATATAGGCATCTATATCAGGAAATTTTTTAAACTGATAACTATCAATTGCTATTTAAGGCTATTAATCAATTAGTAACACTCTTGTCAATAGGAATTAATATAAATAAAAATCAATAGTTATTATACTTGTCGATAGAAATCAATATAATAAAAATCAATAGTTATCATGTCTATCAATAGAAATCGATATATAAAATTAATAGTTATCAAGCCTATTAATAGAAATCAATATAGTAAAAATTGATAGTTATAGTTATCGATAGAAATCAAAATAGTAAAAATTGATAGTTATCAATAGTTATTAATAGTTAATAATAGTTATCAAAAGTTATCGATAGTTATTAATAGTTATTAATAGTTATCAGTAAATAATTTATCAATAGTAATCGATTATTAGTAAACTATTGATTATTAATATTATCAATTAAAATCAATAGAGATATTTGATAATAGCAAACACCGCCACCGATTGTTATTGATTAAATTTAACTGATAATAATAAATTAGTTGTTAGCAATTATTACTTATCAGCTTAAAAAATTTCCTAATGTACCTCCAATTTGCATTGAGATCTATTTTGAAAAAACCTTAGGAACTTGGAAAGAATGCCAAAAAACATTAGAATATTATGCATATCAAAATAACTTCATGATTAAAAAAAATGAATAGATAATAGCCATGATCTACACTAGCATGCTTGTAATTGTGAACAATCTAGTAAATATGTCTTATATAAAACTGCTTCACTCGAAAAGCAAAGAAATAAGAGTTTAAAAAAGATTGGTTACTCTTTTTTGATGAATATATACAAGAGTAAGGGCTCTAATAATGAAGTTATAATTAAGTTAATATTGATAAATCTTGAACACAACTATCTGTTGGTTCCTGAAAATGCTAGCTCTGCTACTAGCTATTGAAAACTTACTACAAAAATAAAGAAGCTTATTGAAAACTATATACTTTGTGATATTAATATTTTATTTTAGGTTTAGTTACTCTGTGGATAATTTTCTGAAGCCACAATTGTGAATTATGATATGAAAAACTATATGTATAAGTTTTGTTATACTAGAACCCCCAAAATATACATAGATAGATTAGGTTTTAGTTTGCTTATTTTTGATCCTTTTTGTGCAGATTATTTCTATTTATAGTAATTAGTTTGCTTATTTTT